CCCCAAAACCCCAAAACCCCAAAACCCCACTACAAGAATTCGGAATTGATTTAATAATATTTTACACTCTCAATGAGCGATAGTGAAGAAATGACTCATAGCAGTGCGAGAAGGTGAGTTTAGGGAAGAGAGACTACTAGATAGTTGTTTACATAACTGATTTTTCTATTTTTCATACCTCCCAATATGCCTAAAAGGGGCTTTTTACTTTAATAAAAGAACTAACCCTTGCAAGTCAAAAATGGGCTTCAAGGATTCACGAAATGAGTAGTTTTTTATTTTCAGAGCTAGGAGTTTTGGCTATCAGATTACACTGGTATTTTAATTCTCCAAAAATAGATGATCCAATTTTTAGTAAAACTCCTATCTAGATTTAGTTGGATAAGAAACCCGATACTCTTCTATCTAAAAGTGTTGCATTTACTTGGGATGATTGCTAAATAATCTTGTGGTGAGCACCTTCCATAAGAGAGATATTATCACAATAACTTTAGGACTGGGATTTCATCTATGTATTTGTAACTGAGATAGAATTGATAACTGTTTCGTTTAGTCATCTCATTAAGGTGGATCCTTTATTTTTGACTTTATCATGTATCATTACTTTTTACAAGTTTTCATTAACTGAATTCTTATTCTTTACCGTTCTTGTGACGTATCTTTAATATTTTGATCAAGAGCCGGTAATGAATAAGATGGGGTTCCATTTCATAACATTATTTCTATAGCAACAGCGATGAGCCTAAAGACAAGGGCAATTTAGTTTATTACCTATTTATTCTGTTTGGGATTGGAGCATTGCTTCCATGGAATGCTGTGCTTACAGCTATTGACTTCTTCTACCAGAGCTTTCCAGGACATGATCCAGGGTTTGTGTTTGCATTGACTCTGAATGGGCCTAACTTCATCTTCAACTTTGTCAATATTTTTATTGTTAAGTATGTTTCGCTGAAGGTGAGACTTTGTATAAGCTTGATCTGTATCTTTGCTCTCACTTGGGCGATGCCTCTTATTGCAAACTTTATGGGGACATCAACTGGGTGGCCAGTGATCTTGGTGGTCATTGTATTTTTAGGAGTGGCCAATTCCTTTGCACAAGGAGGTATCTTTGGTTTCTCAGGAATGTTTCCCTTTAAATACATTGGAGCAGTAATGTTCGGGAATGGATTCTCTGGATTAGCAATGAACATCTTCAGAATGATCACTCTTGCAATATTTCCCCCTAAAGAGTTAGCTGAAGGAGAGGAAGATAATTCAGCCTTCATTGGATGCTTGATCTACTTTGGAATTGCTTCACTTATCTTAATTATAGTTTTAATCGGTTTCTACATTGTCATTGGAACTGACTTTGCAAAGTATTACATAAAGAAAGCTGAAGGGGAGCAGGCTCAGAGAGCATTATCTATCAATGCAGCAGCTCGTAGTGCAGGTAGTTTTGGACATACCGATGCTTTGAAGGAGTTTAGTCACATCGAAGAGGATTATGAGAAACTTGATAATGATGATCCGATCCCAGAAAAAGAAAAATCCTTTATGGAAGTCTATTATGAAGTAGGATTTATGGCTATTCAGGTTTTCCTATGCTTTGTTATTTCTTTCGTTGTATTCCCTGGCACTCATTTAAGTACTCATTTCGACTTTTTGGGTGACACAGCAAAAGATCGTGCATGGTTCACAGTGCTAATGATCACAACCTTTAACGTATTTGATACTATTGGAAGATTTGCTGGCGGATTTGTGCAAATATTTTCTCCAACAACTGTGTTCTCGCTCACTATATTCAGATTGATCTTTATTCCAACATCTGTGTTGATCCAGTTAAACTCCAACCCAGCATGGATCTTCCAGTCAGATTGGTTCAGGATATTCAATATGGCTGCATTTGCCATTAGCAATGGCTACAATTCTACTCTATTGATGATCTATGGCCCCTCTTTTACAGACAATAACAACAAGGAAAGAGCTGGGATGATCATGAGCTTCCATCTCGTTGGAGGTATCTTCGTTGGCTCTCTGATCTCTTCATTCGGAATGAAATATGTGGGTTAGTGTTAACAGCTTGTTTCAATATGTGAAAGGACCTGTGGGGTTTTGGGGTTTTGGGGTTTTGGGGTTTTGGGG